AAAAATGTCGGAATTCTGTGCAATTATGAACTGTGTGTCTCTACCAAGATGCAAACTCCATTTAAAGTGAAGGGCAAGTCACCTTTTCTTTTGCCTCTACCTCAATATCATACTGAAATTCCAACAGAGTAATACAGGGCCAACTATCAAGGGTTATTAACTTGGGATGCTTCTTTAGTCAAATACAACCATCCATATCAACTGGCTCCCACACGGGAGAACTGGTTTGTCAGAGAAAAGGTCTCCTGGCAGGGGTCTAGGATTACCCGAGGAGGCTGATATGTGAGCTACCTGACAAAGGGACTGGAAGGTTATAAAAGGGACAGGCGCTGATCTCTTAAGGGTCTTTAGCCATTTTCAATAAGTCAGAGAAAAGCTGCTGCAGCAATCTGATGTGATGGAGAAGGAACCCCACGTACTTGAATTCAGAAGGTCCCACAATGGACCATTCAAGATACAATTTTCTACCTGACCAGTATTCTCTGAGCTGCAAAGAAAAGAGGAATGGTGGCTTAGAATCTCATGCTAAGTCTGTCCCTGTGTGTTAAGCAATACACCTACCATATGCCCCATTGAAAAATTGAAGCCAGAAGACTCACATCTTCAGGTGGCATTTTGGGAGAAGATGTGTTTAAGCTAGGGGTGGGGAACCGCTGACCCACAGAAAAATTAGTCAGAGACCGCACAGGAAGTAGTAAAAAACCCAACCCCCCCCCCCCCCCCCCCCCACCCCCCCCACACACCAGAACCTAGGGGGAGCCCAGGCTAGTAGATTATGCGTCCTGCTCCATCCCTGCAGGGAGATGGCAGGTGGGTTAGAGCACCAGTGCAGGACTCCCCAATGCTGGTGGGAAGCCCTAAGCCTCAGGGGCCACATCCAGGCAAGCTGGTGGTCACATTCAGCCCCCAGGCCTTAGGTTCCATATCCCCTGGTTTAAGCTATTGGGGCCACGGACAAAGTTTGAGGGGTCAGCTCTGGTTCTAGTAGCTGAGCAGGGGACCATGTAATCAACATTCTCAGGTGGGGATACTAGACAGAGGATTTGCACCCTGAGAAAGACACCAGGGACTTCAACAGAGCATCAGTGCCTAGATTCTGTTCATACTTCAGTGGCTTAAAATATACACAGACTCAGTGGCTGGATCTCTTCATACCAGTCTGATGAGTGGCCACTCTTCAGCTTCATTAGAGTCGTGACACACACTCACCTGGAATTTGGTGTTCTAAGATGAGACAGGAAATGCAAAGAGTCCTGAGATGAGCAATGAAAATTATTCGAGATAGAGAACAGTGGGTTTAGTGCAATGTGTCTTAAACTTTTTAAGACTGAGGAACACCAAACATTTTTTTAAATGAGGAACACCAGAGATTTTTTGTTGAGCCAAAAAAAAAAATTGGGGGGGGGGGGGAAGGGGGGGAGAGAGAAGGTTGCCTACCCCTTTAAGGGGGGCCATTTTGAATTCTTTTCTCTGCA